TCTGTTAAGTGACAAGACTGTTGTCTAAGCAAAGTCAAACCTTACTGTCCTAATTATATCATTCAAAAGCAAGGCATGATCATATTTTATTTTGATAAGCACAATCTAGAGCCACAATCTGATACCAAATGGTCAACTAGAACTCAAGTTATTCTTTGTTGTTCCTAAAACTTAGATGGGCAAGACTTTTGTCAGGTAGTTTAGTGTGTGTTGTAGTTAATCTTTGTCAATTAGAATATTTTAGATGAATGTTTGAAGTAATTTTTTTGTGTTTTAATAGGACGGTGCAATTCATGCCAGTCTGGAGCCGTCTGAGATCCTTTACCTGACTATCGCATATGACTGGTTCCTTTTTGGGTTAGTCTCATTTCTGCTTTACGTACACATCTGTTTTTAGGAATGTTGTAGTATTAAACTTTTACCACATAATAATATTGATAATATTATGATTATTATATGCCTGTTATTTTCTTTAAAAACATAAAACCATTAAAAAAATAAATCACTCAATGTAACTTTAATAAAGTACTGAATTTTTAATGCATGAATTTACTTGTTCTAATATTTTTAAATGCACACAACTAACACGGGAAGTTTGTGATGTGCAGTGTTGGGGAAAAAAGTCACTTTTAAGTCAAATGAAGTCGATTTTTTTTTTAAACAAACCAAAAAGCTAACTAAATGTATTTCTTAGTTACGTGTTTAGTAAAATAGTAAAATTCTTAGAGGAACATGGACTTTAAGTTGTAATATGTAACTTTTTTACTCAACACTGGTTAATTCTACCACATTAGAATTATATAGAAGCTCTATGGTGTTAATTTGTAGGAATCTCAGGAAGCTTCCTGGTATAATCAGTAGATATGCAGCAAAATATAAGAGTTTTATTAGTAATTTTATACTTTACTTTTTCTAGTCACATGTTGCCTGACCGGCTCTCTAAGGGAGAGGAGGTAAGACTTTTGATATTTAATTCCCAACAAATATTGTCTGTTATTGATTAGGATTGTAATTATGGTTTAGTTTGCACCATCTAGAAATATACGAACAAGAACAGAACATGTTATGTCATAAGTAATCTTTTTTTTCTATGACAACAATTTGAGTCTTGATATTGTCTTTCCTAGATTTTCTTTTTCTGCTTCAATTTTCTGAAGCATATTGTTTGTGAGTCATTTTCAGTCGTGAAAAAACAAAGGTAAGTTATCAGACTTAATTTCTTTAATGCAAACATGGAAATATTTTTAATTTGTAAAAATACTGAAATGACTGTGAGATATTGGCATGTTTTGTTTCTGTGCAGACTTATGTTGTTCATTTCAAAAGTGGTGGAATAACTATTTATTTCACCACAGGTCTGTCCCAGCCTAGATATAGTGAATAGTGCATTCAAAATGAATATCAGATCATTTAGTTGGCATAGTTCCACCTACAGGTTCCTGTAACTTCTAGCTGAAAATATGTGGTCAGTCCGAGTATGAAATCCAATAATTTAATGAATTGTTCCTGTCTTTTTCAATTCCCTGGCTTTTATACTGACTGTATCTACAGAACTGGAAAATATACATGGAAATAATACATTTAATTTATTAATAACAATTATTTTCATTTAAGTGCCTTTACTTTGTCTGTCATGTCATCACTGTCAATGACTTTTCTGGGGGAAAACAAATCATGGCCAGTGAATATAGCTCAAATACATCTGTTCAAAAAAGATATATATATATATATATATATTTACTTTTTTTAACTTCTGAGAAACATTTTCTCAAGAACCAGGTAAACCTTTTATGTAATATATATAAAATTACATAAAGTATGTTGTGTTGTTAATTAGTTTGATATTAGCTAAAACATTGCAGAATTATCCAATTACCCTTAGCCATGCCAATAAAGGCAAATTTTTTCCTAAATTTTCAAGTGCCTTGGACTGACCTTTACTGTTTATTCTGATTAATCCCTTACCCAAAGAGCACTGACACATTATTTAAGCTACTCCTGAGGACCTTTTGTTTGGTTTTAAATTGCAGAATTATTATTTGTTCTCCCTAGAGAATAATAGCAAAAATGAAATCTTAAATCAATAATTTTTTGTTGCATTGTTTGTACAGTTATAGTTTTGAATAATGAATTGGAGTCCATAGGTCAATAATTATCAAATACATGTCAAATATTAAATTTCTATTGACTATTAGTAGTTATAGGCATAGTCTAACACCCCAACCATCTATAACACCTTAGCAAAGTATCAATGTTTTCATCTGAATTCTTTAAGCAGCATGAATATGGAGAGAATATCCCTCAGAATGTACCTTTAAATCATATGGATTTCTGTTTTTTTTATATACACACACATACACACACACACACACTGGCGATCAAAATTAGAGAACAATTTATGAATAATTGAACAATTCTGAAATAATGTCATTTTCACTGCTCAGCAGTTGAAGGATTTTTTGTCCCGCCTATACCATGCTACCAGAACACCTTTTTTTTCACAAAATAACAAAGGCATTTCAACAAAAATTTTGCAGAAAACACGATGATCAAAATTAGAGAACACTTTCAGATACCTCCAAGTTATTGGTGTCAATCTGGCATCTGGTGCTAATGCCCTTGATTATCTGTCAACCCCTATTTACCTGGCAGCCTAACTTCCAGTTTCACTGCCTCTGCAAGATGGTGGGACGTTTTAAAGTGACTGAAAGCCTTCGGCAGAAGGTTGTCCAGATGAAGGCCAAAGGGATGACCTCATCAGCCATAGCAAGACAAGTTGGTTGTTCCAAATCTGTGGTTTCAAGAATATTGATTCTTTACAACATCACAACTCATTCAAGTCCCACAGGAAAGCTGGTCATCCACAGAAGAGTGGACAGGATACTGCGGAAGATCTCAATGGGCAATCGTTTTTACACTACAGCTGGAACTGCTCACCAGTTCGGCACTGAAAAGGGTAAAGATCTGTCTCGTCATACAGTGTCTTGATGTTTGAGAGCATTTGGACTGAAAGCCCACTCTGCAGTCACCAAACCTCTTATTAGCAGAAAGAATCAAAAGGCTAGACTAAGCTTTGCTGAGGAGCATGTTGTGTGGACAGAGGAGAACTGCTCTAAAGTTTGTTCAGTGATGAAATCAAGTTTAATTTATTTGGGTCCAATGGAAAACATAATGTTCGGCAACAAACTGGAGAAAGACTGAACCCAAAGTGTATAAAGAAGTCAGTAAAAAAAAGTGGTGGAGGAAGTGTCATGATTTGGGGCATGTTTTTTTGCAGCAGGAGTTGGGCCTCTACAGGTATATGGCAGAGTGAATGCAAATGTTTATCAGAACCTTCTTCAATAATATATGGTTGCTTCCCTGCATTCATTACCCAATCAGCCCGCAGTGTTCATGCAAGAAAACGTGCCATGTCACACAGCAAAATGGGTAAAGCAGTTCCTTGAAACTGAAAACATTGAAATAATGACCTCAACCCAATAGAGAACCTCTGGAAAATCTTTGACGACAAAGTTATGGCCAAGAAACCCATTACAGTCACTGAACTGTCGAGAAGACTGGAAGAAGATTGGGCCAAAATCACACCAGAGCAGTGTGAGGGATTAGTGCTGTCTTGTGGCCACAGATTTGCTGAAGTCATTCAGAGCAGAGGCCTGTACACTTCCTACTAATTGCTGAGTGTTGTAACCTTCAGAAAATTTGGCTGTAATCTTTTTCCATGCTACAGACATTGTTGTTCTCTAATTTTGATCAGTGTGTTTTCTGCAAAATAATGTTTTTTGTTGAAATGCTTTTGTTATTTTGGGGGAAAAGTGTTCTGGTAGCATGGTATAGACGGAACAAAAAATCCTTCAACTTTTGAGCAGTGAAGATGACATTATTTCAGAATTGTTCAATTATTTATAAATTGTTTCTCTAATTTTGATCGCCAGTGTATATATATATATAATTTTTCACTACGTTTTAGTAGAAAAAACTAAAAACTAAATCTAACTTCTCCCAGATAGTTTGTCTGATTGTTGTAAAATGTTATATATGCATGGACCAGTGTAAGTTTCTGGCGGTATGATAACCTTGTATAAAAATACCACGGTATCACGGTATTGTGATTACTGCACTAAAATAAGTTTTTTTTTTAATGTCTGGGTAAAACAAACAAACAAAACAACTCTTTTTCCCCATTGAACACAATATATTTTATTTTAAGAAATGTTTATAATATTTTGTAACAGTACACATGTCAGGCTAAATAGTTAAAGCATTGACTTCCGTCTCTTCATTAGTTTCAACAACACGGAAAATAGATTAAAAAACCTTACATATACCTTGGGAACGGTATAACAGAATATTTTAGTGGTATTAAAACCTTGACTTTTCTAAACCGCAGTAAACCTTGAAACTGGTTATCGTCCCAATCCTAATGTTATATCACACTATGAAATCATTTTAGTTGATTGAATCATTTAGCAGAAGATTAAGCTGATTTAACATACGTTTCATTTCACATTGTGCTTGGATTCGAAACGCTTGTGGCTTCATCAATTCCTCTTTTCTCTTTCTGTAACAGAAGAAAAAATTCTCATTTCAAAGATGCTGACTTTACAGTGGATGACCTTTGCCAGTTAAGTAAGTCACGTTTACTAAATTTTAAGTCTTTCATTAATTTAAATGAACGAATCAGTAAAAACTCTGACTAGAGCGGTTCATCAGTAGATGCACACACACGTTTATTTTAATAATAAAAAAATGATGTAAATCATCTAGACCTTTTAGTTGTATTTGTCCCTGCAGAAAACATTTCATATATTCTGAATACTATATTCTGTATGGCTCGCTGTTTTAAGCTCTCTTTTTTCTGTTTCTTTCTACCTGTCTGTCTCTGTGTCTGTCAGAGTCTAGAGATCGTGGTAGTGTGACGAGTCTGAGCAGTGATTTCTCTCTCATCACAGAAGACGCATCAGCTTCCCCCAGTCTACAAGCAGAAGCTACAGACCTGATTACACTTGGCCCACAGGCTTCTAATGGGTAAGCCTTGAAAAGTAATAAGCTAGCACCTTTAATAGTACATTGTTAGTATGAACACACTTTTCTCGTCTCTGTACAGAGAAGCACATGTTAGATGGGATTTTCCATCCAGTTAGCAAGGAATGTAAAAAAAGTTGACGATTGCTGCTTTAAATAATGTTGACTCATCACTTCTGTATCACAGGAGGAAAGGCATGCCATTGGCTGCTCATTCTGTGCTTTGGAACCGACCAATCACTTCAGAGGAGCGAATACCTAATGTTATCAATGAACCTAGTCCTCTGGGCTCCTTCAAGTCTTCAAGCTCCTCCTCATCCAACCACTCAGATCAAAATGCCACAAGGACAGGGAGCACCCCATTAGCTGTACCAGGAAGGAGGTGGGTACTTGTAGTGCATTTATCTGTTTTGCTTGTTTAGCGTTTGTTTGGAAATGTTTTAGCATGTATTTGTTTGGTACAGTACTTCAACTCTTTTTCAACCCATTTTTCTGCTTGATATAGCAATATGATTTGCAGTATTATTTGTAAAGTCAAGCTTCAGCTTATTATTTAAACCAGAACCCTAAAGACAAGCTTATGCTCATTATTCTCAATACTTGACATGATCCAACGTGAGGTGACAACACAGGTTTTTTTAATGCCAGTTGTTTGCTGTTGGCTTAAACCCAATCTGCCATGTATGAACACACCCTTAAACCAGAGCCCTAAAGTCAAGCTTCAGCTCAATATTTTCAATACTTAAACTGAAAGGAATACAGTATATATTTATTAGCTCCCTATATAAACATGCATTTATTTTGCAGCCTTTTCTGATTAGCTAATCGCAATGTCACATCATTTACTGAGTGTTTTCATAATTGCAATAATCAGTCATGGTTTTAACAATTTGATTGGATTATATATATAGGAATATTAACTGTCAGAAAATGTATTGTTGCTTTGTTATGCTTGTTTGGTGCACACCAAATGTTGGGATGGCAGATGAGCCATTCCCAAATTACCTGAGCAGAATTACCTGAGTTTTTCTTTGGGCCGGGACACACCAAGCTGATGTCAAACAACAAGCACCAATGAAACCCAACTGTGTTGTCACTAAGGCAAAAATCCAATTTCGATAATTATTTTCCACACTGAACGATGAGAAAATATTTTTTGATGTAGGTTGTTAATGCTTCCAGATTTTAAAAAGTACCGCAACAATGACTGAAGTCACAAAATTAGAGGGTCCATTTACATGGCTTAACATTTTTTCAGTGGTCGAAAATTCTGTACACTCAAATATCTGAAATACATTTCTGCTGCAACAATGATTGCTCTGATTGGCTCTTAGATCAATATAGAGTAAAAAAAAGTCCAGAGCGTACCATTGTTATTGACTTAAATTTTATTGCGATTTGATATAATATCGTTTATCGGCCCAGCTCTAGTTGTCGCCACATGTTGGAACGAGACATGAAACGAGAACCGCATTCTGCTCAAGAGAACGTGTCTTTTTCCCCAAAGGGAAACTGAACTTCTGATGCGCACAGACCAAGCATTTTGTATTAGTTACATTTTCACAGAAATTGTCACTCACCACCGAGAGATTTGCTTGTGCAAATGTGTCTGATAATCTAAAAATCTATATTGTTTGCAAATATTCAAGAAATGTAGCAAAAATACAGCCAGCTGCTTTGTGGTCCTTTTTGAATTGAATTATTAACATATGTCACTTCATTAGGTCGAACTCGTGCACTGATATACCCAGACGAGACCCGATGTGTGGAGGAACACACCAAACCAACTAGCCTGACCAACTAAGCCCATTGGCTGACCTTTGGCTTGGTGTCTTCCGGTTCTTAGGGCCCTCCACACACTAGCTCTCATCAGGTTAACGTTAAAGCATGTTGGCCCAATACAGCATGTAGAATCAGCATCTGACTGTTGGCTGAAGAGAGAGATCTGACTGATTAGCAACAAATCAGAGTGCAAGTGTGATGTAATGAAGTTTCAAAATTGTTTTTCATGTGTAAATCTTTGTGATCCAAGATGTGATCACAACTGTGTTGTCACCTCGCGTTGGTTTCTTTAGTGCTTGTTGTTTGCTGTCAGCTTAAACAAACCCAATCTGCCAAGTATGACCATACTCTTAAACCACTTTTGAGAGCCCAAAAGTGATCTAGGTAAAGGACCAACCATGAAAAGGTGTAGAAATTTTTTTTTTGCATGATAACAATTATAAAATACTTGCGTTGCAGTTTTCTGACAAACTTCCTTTATAATTTCCCAGGTTTTTTTAGTAATATGCAACTAGAGCTTTCTATTGTAACAAGGCCAACATTTTGTTGTTAAACCAACCCTACTAGCCAAAATGACCTGTCTTCTATAACCATCATCTATTTTCTTGCTTTAAATACGTATGTATTGATAATTGTCAGGCCAGTGGTGGAGTATGCTCGGTCAGGCTCCTCAGTCTCCACAGATTACGGAAGCTGGCAGATTGTCTCAGGATGTGGGAGTATCCATGATCTTCCCCCAGTGCCCTCAGAGTCACCTCTTCCATTCAGCTTCCAAGATGAAGGTCCAAGCGGACGAATGTGAGTCTTGTGCACATTTCAGACCCGTCTAAACTCATTGCATTTTTAGACACTTGTCGTGCTGTTTTCTCAGTAAGAGGCTTTAAATTGATTTATGGTGTTGAAGCACAACTGAAGCATAACTAAGTGTAGTTGAGTTCAATTTTCTACCTTGACTTTTTACTTCTGCTCACTTTACAGTGAATAAAGTTCAGAACAGAAAAAGGAATAGAAAATAAAACCATCAGTAATTTGACACTATGACTATAAACATAACTTATTAGAAAGAGAATAATAGAAGAAGATAGAAGATCCAAATGCAATCTACATTGTATGTACACTCACTGGCCACTTTATTAGACACACCTGTCCAACTGCTTATTAGCGCAGATTTTTAATCCGCCAATCACATGGCAGCAACTCAATGCATTTTGGCATGTAGACATGGTCAAGACGATCTGCTGCAGTTTAAACCGAGCATCAGAATGAGGAAGAATGTCTTGTTAATGTCATAGGACAATGACCAGACTGGTTTGAGCTGATAGAAAGGCAACAGTAACTCAAATAACCACTCAATTGAGGTATACAGAAGGGCATCGCTAAACTCACAACACGTCGAACCTTGAGGTGGATGGGCTACAGCAGCAGAAGACCCCACCGGGTGCCACTCCTGTCAGCTAAGAACAGAAAACTGAGGCTAAAATTCGTACAGGTCCACCAAAAATGGACATTAAAAGATTAGAAAAACGTTGCCTGATATGATGCGTCTCGATTTCTGCTGCGACATTCAGATGGTAGAGGCAGAACAACAGGAAAGCATGAATCCATCTTGAATTGTATCAACAGTTCTGGCTGGTTATGGTGGTGTAATGGTGTTGGGGATATTTTTTTGGCAGACGTAAGGCTCATTAGTACCAATTGAGCATTGTGTCAACGCCACAGCCTACCTGAGTGAGCATTGTTACTGACCATGTCCATCCTTTAATGACCACAGTGTACATATCTTCTGACACTGAAACTTCCAGCAGGATAACACCCCATGTCATAAAGCGCGAATCATCTCAGACTGGTTACTTGAACATGACAATGAGTTCACTGTACTAAAAAGACCTCAAAAGTCACCAGATTTCAATCTAATAGAGCATCTTTTGGATGTGGTGGAACAGGAGATTCGCATCATGGATGTGCAGCCGACAAATCTGCAGCAACTGTGTGATGCTATCATGTCAATATGGATCAAAATCTCTGAGGAATATTTCCAGTACCTTGTTAAATCTATGCCACAAAGGATTGAGGCAGTTCTGAAGGCAAAACGGGGTCCTACCCGGTACTAGTAAGGTGTACCTAATAAAGTGGCCAGGGAGTGTATAAAGTTAATTATGTATCACTGTGTATTATTTTTAAGGTTTCCGTCTTGTTTCAAAGATATTCATCTAAAATTTAAGGGAATAAGTCATTTTTTCCATTTTGTAAATTTCTCGAACTTTCATAATCCATTGTACAAATGAGAGTGGGTCAGATCTGAACCAGCTAGATGTAATGCAGAAAACAATTTTTGAAATAGATTCATTCTCCTTTCCCCGATGCCTTCAAGTATCACACCCAAGATGGCCACAGTTAGATCAAAGAGAATATCAGTATACAATACATCTCCAAATACCAAATACTGTTGTAGTTTTGGACAACACCAAAAGAAATAAGAGTAATTTACCCAATGGTCACCTCACTCTCTTCAGCATCTGTTAGATGAGCCTATTCTTGTCTTTGCTACAGTATGTGGAGTGTGGAAATATCTTGTGATTACTTTCCACCTAAATTCTCTCCATGTATCTGAGTTTAAGTTACTCTATGGGCCTCTGGGCATATCATCACCTTGGAATTATAGGTTCTATCTGCGTTCTGAATGATTTTGAGATATTGAGCTTCAACGTTTTTGCATTCCATAGCAAACAGTATGTGTGTAACATTAGTTTTTTTTTAAATAAAAAGTCTTAAAATGTAAACAACTTATAAAATAACATTCCGTAATGTAAATAAGTTGTCATTTAATAATAATATGTCAATAACTTAATTTTGACAAAAATGTCAGATAGAACCTTATAATTCTAAGGTGGCGATATATCTGCCCAGTTCTCTTGTGTAATCTTTACCTGCATTCCAGCCTCCCGCTGTTTTTAATATGGTTGGTATGATTATAAACTCTTATACAATTGGGAGATCCACTGCTTATTAGTATTATTCATTATCATTAACGTCTATATTTAGTTCAGATACCACAGTACTTTTAATGGAGTTTCTGTTCCTGATGGTGCTAACATTTAAGCAGTCTTCATCTTGACAGCTAAATGAATACTTAAGATTATTCAACGGACTTTACTTTACTTAATTGACAGTATTGATGCTGAAAAAGGAACCGTATGAAATTGAAAATAGTTCAGAAGTTTATGGGTGTCTGACAAACACTTGCTGTGCATATACTGTACCTCATTGTGTTTGCATTTAGGTAAAGAGGAGAATAATACAACTGCAGTTCCTCTTATTTTCCTTTTCTAGGTGCACGTTTGTACCAGAAAGGCAAGTGAGGTTGGAGGCGGTGAGGGAAATGTTCCTTTCTGCCTACAGCTCTACAGTAGGACTCAAGTCTTCATCTCCAAGCCCCTCTGGTGCCCTTTCAGGCCTGCTGGAGCAGTTTGCTCGTGGAGTCGGCCTTCGTGGCACCAATGCCATTATCTGAGCCTTCCTCTGTACAATATTCATCCAGTTCATCTTTTATACACCCTCAGGACTTTTCAGTTCATCTTTTTTTACCCTCTCATCTTGCACATCTCCCACACCAGTAGTACATCATTTATGGGTGTAACTGTACATTCAAATCTGCTTCTCTCAGCCTCTAGCTCTTCATTTCTTCTCATTTTTTGTTCTGTCCTTTCACTTATTCCAGTGCGGTCTTCTACTTGCAGAAAAGAAAAGTGCCAAATCTTAATATAGGGCTCCATTCAACTGCTCTTGTTTCTCTACAGACCAAATAATATGTCCATTTTATTAAAAATCTGATTTCTATTTTAATTAGCACTGCTTCGGTTTAATTTGATTGAACCGTTCTCTTACTTTATTTTGCATGTTGCACATTTGTACTGTAATAAGGAAAGAATAGAAGAGGGTTGATAAACACCAGAAAGGGAAATGTTTCATCAAGCTCAAAATTGACAAATACTTCAAATCATACTTCTTCTAAAGAAGTTTATCAATTGTGAAAAGGGTAAATATGATTAGGGGGGAAACAATTTATTCTGGCCTAAGAGGCTTGCGTTCCCCATTTTAAAGCTTGTTTTGGTTTAGTTGCTGGCTTTTGTTTAGATTTTACGTTAATTTTAAGAGAAACGTACTTTAAGACAGGTTTTAGAACTTAGCTTTAAGACTTGGCTGCTTTGTTGTAGTTTTGGAAATGGCAACAATGTGGGCAGTGGTAATGGAAGACAATGTCCTTTGTTCTTTTAATGAATCGATTTGGAATTATTTAATGAATGTGTGTTATGAATGTAATTCATTTTTTATGTCTTTGGATTATTTTTAAAATGCAACACGAGTACTCCAAATTGAAAAGTTAATTTAATCAGACGTCTTCTTTCCGGAGCAGCAGTCCATGTCCTGCATCACTTCTTCTTAAGCTTAAGTTTCTTTTGTTTGTTTGTTTGTTTGTAAATGATCTTTGTCTTTTGGTAAATGCCTCAAATAACTAATTTGCCTTGGCAATGTATTACAGATTTGTACAGATTTGGGATTCCTGCACTTAAATGATTGGCTATAAGGTTGCCTTTGTGGCCTCTTTACCTCAGGGCCTTTTGTTGTGCCTTTTGTTTTTAAGGGCGTAGAATTCCGTTTTCTTGCACAGCTGCATTGTTTTGTGCAACCTTTAGACTTAAAACCATATTTGCTTTATATCTGATTCTCTTTTTGTTAATTTATGACAAACAAAGTCTTATGTACTGTAGCGATGTTGGGCAAAATTCAGATTTAAACAATTCTTCCTTGTCAGTTCATGAGTGTGATTTTTATGGATTGAATTAGAGGTTGAAAAATTCTGTTACACATTTAATGATGTAGCATGCAAGTGATTCTTTTACAAAGTGGTGAAAAGCATAATTAAACTCTTATAATACGATTGCCTGGAACTCATTCATACAGTAGGTGGCACTGTCACCTACTTGGTATTATCAAGGTGTAGTTTGATATCAGTATGCCAAAGCATTGCTCTTTAGCTTTTTTTAGCTTTAGCAAACTGTTAACGTCACATGTGAACATTTTATACATAAAAATATCATATACAGTTGAAGTCAGAATTATTAGCCTCCCTTTGAATTTTTTTTCTTTTTTTAATTATTTACAAAATTATGTTTAACAGAGCAAGGAAATTTTTCTTTGAAATATTCTGCTAGAATAAAAACAGTTATTAATTTTTTAAACATCATTTTAAGGACAAAAATATTAGCCCCTTTAGGCTAATTTTTAAACATTTTTGTTCTACTGAACAAACCATCGTTATAAGATAACTTGCCTAATTAACCTAACCTGCCTAGTTAACCTAATTAACCTAGTTAAGCCTTTAAATGTGACTTTAAGCTGTATAGAAGTGTCTTGATAAATATCTAGTAAAATATTATTTACTGTCATAAAGGCAAAGATAAAATAAATCAGTTATTAGAGATGAGTTATTAAAACTTCTGTTAAAAAATGTGTTGAAAAAATCTCTGTTAAACAAATTGGGGGAAAAAATTATATACACACACACACATTTATATATATATACACACACACACACACACACACACACACACACACACATATATATATATATATATATATATATATATATATATATATATATATATATATATATATATATATACACACACACACACACACACACACACACACACACAGTGTGAAGTCAAAATTATTAGCTCCCCTTTGAATTGAATTTTTTTTTAAACATTTCCCAAATTATGTTTAACAGAGCAAGGAAATTTTCACTGTATGCCTGACAATATTTTTTCTTCAGGATAAAGTCTTTTTTGCTTTATTTCTGCTAGAATAAAAGCAGTTTTTAATAATAATTAAAAAACATATTAAGGTCAAAATTATTAGCCCCTTTAAGCTATATATTTTTCGATAGTCTACAGAACAAACCCTCGTTATACAATGACTTGTCTATGTACCCTAACAAGTTAACCTAATTAACCTAGTTTCGCCTTTAAATGCCACTTGAAGCTGAAGTGTCATGAAAAATATGTAGTAAAATATTTACTGTCATCATGGCAAATGGGGGAAATTGGGGAAAAAAATATATGGCTAATAATTCCGACAGCATATATATATATATATACACAGTTGAAGTCGGAATAAAATTACCCATATATATATATATATATATATATATATATACACACACACACACACACACACACACACACATATATACCCATATATATTATATGGGTAATTCTTCAACTATGGGCACTTTTATGTCCTTTGATCATATATGTAAATATATATATATAATTCTGTTCGAATTCCTCTTTCTTTGTCATACTAACAATAAAACTTACTTAAAAAAATGTACTAGCTTCCTATTATATATTTTTCATGTTATTTAACCTTCTTTTAGGTGTCAAAATCACTGTTTTCACCTTGTCACACACCCAGAGTTTTAAACTTCAACAATGAAAATAACATTTTAAAATATTATTTATCTGGTATCTATCCATCTATCTTAATGAAGCACAAGTGAAATAATTTAAATATTTTATAGATATTAAGACTATTATCAATGTTATTTTTTATACAAAATAAAGCTGTCGAACAGTATCATGTCATTTCCACCACAACACTGTAATGTCGCTTTAAAAAGTTTGTGTGAAAGATAATTTAAGTGGTTTCTATGAATATAAAAGCCATCTGAGAACATGTTCAAGATGGAATGAATTGAAATTTTCATCAACAACACTTGAAGAAAAATCAAGGTAAATATTGCTTGATTAGGAAATACATTTATTCTACGTCATTTCCAAACATGTTGTACCAAACAAAATGGATATATAAATAATGGATATTTACCATAAGAGTGTTTTGTATACATGAAAAGCTAGTATCAATTCAAATCTAATCGGTGAAGCTATTTTTAATTTTTTCACAATAAACTGTTGACATGTCACTTTCACCACTGTAATTTCCATCACCACATATTTTGTAAAAATATTTAAAAGTTCTCATCACACATTACAAGTGTATTTACAGTGTATAAGCTCATGCTCTAGTTAATATACAAACTCAGTTTATTTCTTTTCTAATAAGCTCATAATCTAATTAATAATAATTTTAGAGTGTGACAGGTATACAATTCAGCATACAACTAATTTATTTTATTGACAAATGTATAATTATTATATATGTTGTGGAATGTTTGGTTAAACTAGATACAAAAACGTTCATTTTGAACAAGTTTTTTTTTTACCCAACTTCACAAGGCTAAAAGTGCCCGTAGTTGAAGAATGGCCCATATATATATATATATATATATATATATATATATATATATATATATATATATATATATATAAATATATATATATATATATATATATATATATATGCACACACAAAATCCCTGTATACTAACAATTCCTTCATGTTGTCCCAACACAAGTCAATTAAACTAACCAAATTGTTTTTGTTGTAGATTGAACAAAATTTCTGTTTAACTGAGGGAAGATTGTTTTAACATATTTCTAAACAATCGTTTTAAAAAACTCATTTCTAATAACTGATTTATTTAATTTTGTCATGATGACAGTAAATAATATTTGACTAGATATTAGACTAATATACTAATATTTGACTGATATAGATCAGTTCTGAAAGACATCAAGCATCAGACAGGTCATATAAAAGTAACACAAAAGTAACCTAACGCATTACTTAATATAAACAATAACTAAATGGGTGTAACTCAATATTGTAACACATTGCTTTTAAAAGAAACTTTCCCCAACACTGCCTGTACCAGTGCTGTAGAAAGACTTGTGATGAGAGGGGTTATTCATAGCCTACAATGAAGTGATGGTTGCCTTTTGATATTTAATAAATGAACTGGGAGAATAATGAAACAAAAACCCACATACTTTACAGATCAACAGAAGTTTCCCCCATAATTTCCACAAAGCATCACGGAGTGCAAGGGAAAGTGTAGATTGGCCATTTAAAGTTTTATCAAGACTACTTCGAGGGGATAATCATTAGACTGTCATCAAACCTTTGCAATCATGACATGATGCACCATATTTTGTGCATGATTATGGCAACTTATTAAGCTCAGTTAATGATGTCATTAATGATGGTTTTATAAACTTTTACAAATTTGACACTTATAATGAAAAAGGAATGTACTCCAAAATTGCAAACTGTATCTATTTTGCCTACATACCAATGTGTGGTGACTGCTGTACTCGTATGCAAAAACCTCAAGTGTAAAAGTGTGTGAAACGACCCAGTATTTAAATTCCCTCAGTGATGAATTCTGAGGGTTGTCATCAAATTTGTTTTGTTGTGCAGACCTAGCAACCATCTGTGTACTACTGGAAGAATATGGCAAATGATGAGTAAGAGTTTAGATATAATATCTTCAACAGTCTATCAAGCAGGATATATCATATGGGAAAACTCTCAAAAACTGTGATATGAGAAATCCAACAAGCTCTTGATAGTTGAAATTAGAAAATGACACATTCTTTAAGTGTTTATTTTTCCACATACAAAAATCCATATACAGAAGTCCCTAAAATTATAATGAAGGTTGACAAAATTATAAAAATGGCACCTGGCACTCTGAACACCACAAGAAAAGGAGGAGGTCAGATAGTAAAGACCCCTGAGCTTCAGTAGTGCTGATTTAATGCAGTATAGGTCAGGAGATTTCTGGATTGTACCCGTGTCATAGTGCTATTTAATATTTACTAAATAGGATAACACAAAAGATACCAGAGGGGCATTGTGTAAATGACATTTTTCAGTAGCCGGAGAATCATCAGTCTTAACTGCTCTAACGAGAAATTGTTAGTGGGCCTGCTTTTAAATGCAGATTAAGCTAATATTAGTCTCCAGAGAGGGAAATGATGATAAGGAATTGACTGGTCCTTGGTAACTATGTAAATATTAGACTATGTCCTTAAAAATGGCAAATGGTCTGTATGAAGTTCAGCATCATACTAAAAAGGTCTACTTATTTAATGAACACCTTCATATCCAAATGTACAGATAATATATGTTGACAGAGGTGTAAATAAGTAGGGGGGAAGGGCACCGTTAAAGGTAACCATGTTCATTTCTGAATCATTAAAGCAAAAACTACTCCAACAAATGAAAAGGGAAAAAAGGCTGCATATCTAGCAGTGGTACTCTAAAGATCATATATTTACTTTTATACCGAAGGTTCTGAAAAAATACAGTTCTTTGCAGTCACTTGATTGTGTATAAAATGCACCAGCGGTGGCACTTGGGGGTACAGTGGAAGTTTTTTAGGGAGCAGTTTACATCATTGTGTATATATCCACACTGTTCACATGCTCCCCTAGCAAAAGGAGAGAAGCACAGCACACAGTTGTCATACGTGTCGTCTTTATGACAGTCTCTATAAACCAAGTTTAATTCAACTACTACACTTTAATTCAGTTGATAACTCAAAAAAGTCAAATTAGTAAATCTATGTTAAGGGAAAAACAAAAGATCAAAAAAAAAAAAAAAAAAAAAAGAGTAACTGAGATATTCTGGGACAGTTTATGTAGACAGGTTAATACCTGTAAAATTAAATGTCAGTCAGCGTAGTAAAGCTGAAGATAGAAGGGATGGGAGATTTTTAAAGTAATATTCCTCAGTAATTCTAGCCTCAAATAGCATTAATATTCCCAATACGATTGTTGATAGGTTTGCAGACATTGGTTTTGAAGAGCACTGATTTATAAATCTGACTGTATTTGGACATTATTCATCAGGTAAGGACCTGTTATTCAACTGATCCGTTATAATTAATGGCATGGTGATGTGGTTTGTATCTTCAGCATGTGAGTTCACTGCATGCCTTACATCACAGCACACTTCTTCTCCTCTGATGGGGCGTTTCCATCCACTTTTTCCATTTCCAGAATAATCCTTTTGAAAACCTCTACAGCCGTCTGTAAAATGTATATGTTTTTCTTATAAAATACACAATACACATTGTGGAAATGCATCACGTTTTGTAAAAATAAATTGAAGCTACCAAAAACAAAAGTTTATTATACCTGATTTTCCTTCGCAGATGACTCCATAAAAGCAGCACCCCAGGAATCAGCTAGCTTCTTTCCCTCTTCTGGTTTAATCACTCTATGAAAAACAAAACATAGATGAGTGTGAAAAAGCATTTCCTTCCAAACAGCAGCTGCCCTTCAATGTGTGTGAACCCGAGAGTTTGAATTTAGATGATTTAGTGCTCTAAAACCACAAAAGGGATTTAGTTTTATGAATAAAATAGTAATTGTTCTTCTCTTTTACCTAAATGGCCTTTAACCCTTTGATGCACAAGCTATAAAATATATATAGGAAAAAAATTAACTAAGGCTGGTCACTTTACACCCATGTAGTGCATCAAAGGGTTAAATATCATATTTTAATCAGCCAATACCAGTTCTTGTAATTTCTATTAACTGAAACCAATCATTTCAGCATTGTTAAGTGTTGAGATTTTTTGTATTTTCCCATTGAATAAGGAGCTATATTAAAGTCATATGAACAGACTTGCCTTGATAGGACTTTGGAATCATTTAACTCTAGATGTCAAATCAGATTCATGTTATTAAAGATATTAGTGCAATTTTTGAACACGCAAACATATTTACCACAGAAAACACACACCTTTGGTGACCTTTTGTCAAGAAAATCTGATTTAAAGCTAATGTTAAAATTGTATGTGCAAATGAAACAACATGTGCAAACTAATCATAATTAATAAGGTTAAGATTACAAGATGCAACAGGTGAACATGTAGTATATGCTTACCTTTCCATGTGAAGGTCTTTTTTGTTTCCAACTAGAACAGTAGGTACCCTGGGTAAAAATGCAATATTTATGACTACATGTTTTATTGCCCCATGTAATAATTTTGACCATATGTTCAACCCACACTTACTGTATCTTTCCAACCATATCAAGAAGCTTGTCGTGAAGAACCTGCACAACTTCAAAACTGGAAGACAAAAAAAAAATTATGTTTACAATACAATGCCTTCTAAAATTATATCAGCATCTAAGGCTCCGTTTACACTGTCAGGTCTTGATGCCCAATTACGATTTGTTGCCTATATCTGATTTGTTAGCTTGTCTGTTTACACTTTGTTTTCATTGTGACCCATATTCAATTCATGCGTTTACACTTGCCATACAATTTACGATGTCGCGCATGCATAAACCATAAAGGCGGGTTCTAGCATCTGTGCCACACTAGCCACAGCGTCTTGTTTTTAGCTCTGCAAAACATACGAAGTGTAGTAAAAGCAGTGAATTTTGGTTTAGTCCAGATTTACCCCCACACAGTTTATGTAATGGTATGGCCCTGATGTGTGTGTAGTTGAAGATTTACATTTACATTTAGTCATTTAGCAGACGCTTTTATCCAAAGCAACTTACAAATGAGGACAAGGAAGCAATTTACACAACTATAAGAGCAACAATGTAAACAATGAAGTGCTGTAGGCAAGTTTCAGGTGTGTAAAGTAAGGAAAGCATTAGTAATGTAAGATTTTTATTATTTTTTTTTTTGAGTACAGTTAGTGGTATAGCTGGAGACGCAATTGCAGATTAGGAAGTGAAGTGGAGACTAAATAGTTGAGTTTTTAGTCGTTTCTTGAAGACAGCAAGTGACTCTGCCGTTCTGATGCAGTTAGGGAGATGTAGCCTTTGCCTGTGTGCGCACTGGTGTTGGAGAGAATAAAGTTATTCTATGTGTAGCCCTCAGTGCGTGTGTTAATAGCGACAAAAAGCAAAAGTTACAAGTTCGCCCAACTTTAAAATGATTTTGAGGCAGAGGTGGGAATGGGCCGTCATCGCAGTTTGCGCTTAAGATTTATATATTGTGGGTACGAGAGAGATCTCAGGTCTGGTGGAAGCAAATTGTGGCGACTGACCACTTTCCTCCTCTGTGTTTTCTCTGATGTTGTGTACCGTGTCGGCATTTCCACACACGCTCTTCTTTCTGTCATTAAACTGCACAGAAGCACCACATTGTCGCAAGTTTAATAATGTACAGAACGGAATGCCTCAATAAATCGATCTGCCTGTTTACATGACAGTCGCATTGTCACATATCCAATCTATATCTGATTTATTTCCACATACGAAGGAGGCTGGAAAACGATGTCTGAATATCCGAATGCATGCATTTTTTAGTGTTTACGCGCTCATAGAACAGATCCTATCTGTATCACATATGAGCAACAAATCGGAATTGGATCACATTTAACCGGCAGTGTAAACGCGGCCTAAAGCCTGATTTATACTTCTGCGTCAAGTGACCGGCGTAACCCACGGCGCAGGCAACGCGCGTGGCTGTGCATTTATACTTCTGCGCGCTGTCTCTGTCGGTCTGCATTAACACTTCCGAAACGCTAGTTGGCAGTGAGGTGTTAATGTTCCACTGTGTCGAGTTTCTTCTCTGCTTTTTTGCTTTTCCTGAACACTTCCGGGATGTACAAGTGGCTCAAACTCGCTCATTTTGAGGCAAGAACCGGCGGACGTGCAACAACTTTAACTATGAGGTAAACACTAGGGATGTAACGGTATCAGAATTTCACGGTACGGTAATACCTCGGTATGAATGTCACGGTACGGTATTTATTGAATCATTTACAGGAAAAAAAAAAACTTTTGAAAATACTCCAAAAAAGTGCCAAAAGTGTCAATGACATACAAATTAGTCATCTATCTGTTAGCTTTGAAACAGGAACTTCAATTTTAATAACAAAAAATTATTAAACCATGTAAAAAAAATAAAGTTTCAATTTAGTATTGTTGAAAACTCATCTCATTCAACATTTAATCACTCGCTTAGATAGAGATGGGTTTAAAGGAAAATTGTCATATAATTATAATCTGGTAAAAGCTGGTATCTCTGGGTATTTACAATGTCCCCTGCAACAGAAAAAACCCCTCTCATTTGGGACTGAGGTTTCTGGGACAAGAGAGATATGACTTGGTCCATGTTGACAGCAGTGGGGTAACGTTGTGCATTGTCTTTCCCCCACTTGAGAAGACAAACCATGAGTGAGATAGAGGTCTCTTTGCGGTACAAGTCAATGTCTGCATCAATCTGAACAGTGTGCTGTGTTTCTGCAGTCCCCATGACTGTTATTAGTCGTATTCCCCAACTTGCAGGCACGTGCACACATAGGGCTCAACCTGTGCAGTGCACATGCCCTTTTTAGTCTTGGATAGAAAATGCCCTTCCAAAACGATCAAAAGTGCCCCCGCGACGCGACACAACCTCCGTCCAGTCCAGCCCTTCAGTAGGCGCGCGACAACACCTCTCTTGAGTATGCGCGCTCAACCCCCCCTCGGCGCTTTTTCAATACGCGCGCCACAACACAGCTGATCAGAACGCGCGCGACAGCACCGCTATTCAGCACGCGCGCGGCGACAACACCCGCTTTAGGTTCGATCATTTCCATCTTTTTTTCATCTCCGCTACTAGCAGCACACTCCATTTCCGCATTACTGGATCTGTAGCGACAACAGACCGCAAAGGATTATGGCCACGCCGGGGCTGATGGGAAATGAAGTTTCAGCTACCTCCCGTTTGCTTCATTCGCCTGAGCAAATTTTCTCAGAAGACCTATAGTTTTACCGAGTCATGCGACTTCGGTAATATCGAAAAAATTTAATATTGCGGTATGACGGTATTTACAATACCGTTACATCCCTAGTAAACACAGAACAAAAATTTCCACCCAGAGCTCCTTCACGGGACTCCACACTTGTAAACAATCGCTCGCGCCATTCGCGCGGCTCTCGGTCCCGCCCAGACTCGTCAGCACTACCAAGCCGACCAATCACAGAGCTTACGCTACGCGTTGTTGCGACGTGTAGTTACATTTTTTGAGAGGTGCACGTCAGTGACGGCCACGGCGAAGGGCTATGCGTCAGCGCCATAGCATACGCTGGGGTTTGACGCAGAAGTATAAATCAGCCTTAAGCCATAACAGTGTTATCATACAAGCAAAAATATATCTGAAGCAGAGAATTATTTTGAAAAACATGATAAAAAACACAGCTAAAAGAAAAAACACATATATAATACACATATAAACAGTAAACACTATAAGGGTGCTTTAAACCTTGGATTATTGTTTCTGAACTTGGATTTTCTTTATATATCAATTTGTTTGGGCATATGTGAACAAACCAATCAGGCTCAAATCCACATTAAAAACTCTGGAGTGGTTTCCTTGTTGTAAGAAAGCAGTATGTCCCATGAACTAGGTGTTATAACAGTGATGAGTTATAACTAGGGCCAGACGGAATCTGCAGACGTTTTTTGCTATTTCTGCGCAGAGTTTTGTTAAAAATCAGCAGATTTATGCTAAATTATTTTGGAAGTATCATAACTGAAATCCTAATATATAAACTAAAACGTAATACCTGTTTAACTTGTATTTAATGTTTACAATGCAAATCAAATTAGATCCCCTTTATTTGGGAAACAAAGCAAGTCTTCTATATAATATATCTACTGAAAGACAGAAAATATTACTTTACAAACTGTTTTGTGAATAAATTATATTAACATTTTCACATTAGTCAATAATTATACTGAAATTAATTTAAAAACTGAATAAATATAAATTTACACACATTTACACAAGTAAAAAACAGAATCAATGATGGACTAAATATCTGCGCGCGCAGATTTCATGTGGGCCTAGTTAAGACATACACGGAGTAAAAATAGCAGTGCTGATTTTGCTAATGCCTTTCAAATGAATCATTAGTAAACTTGGAGCAAAAATGATATGAAATACCAAATTTTATGTGAGGATCTTTCAAACTGCAAAACAAAAATACAGACCAAGCCTTGAATGTTGTTTAAAAATATATAGAATAAAACAACAACAGCTGAAATAATGTCTACAAAATGTAGCAGCTGTCGGATAATTCTGACTGACGACTGATATGATCGGAATCTTAAAACAAACAAATAACCAATGAGACAAGAGGCTTGTTTTAAATTGTTTAGTTAGTTTAGAAATACATTTGTCAATGAGGGGAATCAAATTTTCCAGCTCGGAATGGTTTTGGAGTGTCTGGAAAAGGAGTTTGACAGCTGTTTCTTGATTCTTTTGGCTGATTTATGTAAGAAGTTATAGTACAGTATACTGTATAAAACAAGCCATATGATGTGGCAGTTGTAAGGTTGAAACAAAAAGAAAAAAAAAATCTATACAATCAAGAAAACACTGCATTAAAACTGCCAACCACACACACACGCACCCGCGCGCACGCACACAGATGGGAATAAAAGAAAAAGAGCGGGAGATATTACAAAAGCATGCAAGCAAGTTTGCTTATTTGCATTTAAATGCAAATATGGTCCAATGGAATGATCAAAATTGACCAAATATGAAACATGGTATACAGAAAAAAGCAAAAATTAAATAAACAAAAAAGTAAGAAAAAACCCTGACCTTTTCATTGAAGTGACAGAGTACACCAGAACGTAACCATGAATATCCATAGAATGAGACTGGGGAAAAATGGAATACTCATCCTAAACAGAAAGGGCAGGGGGACAACTGGTGTGAAAAATTATGGAAAAATAAAGTTTGTTTAAAAGGATAATGAAAATAATAATTGTGGGAAAATGATTTTACCTGTCCAGCAGTGTCAACTAACTGGAGATTGAAATCTTGACCATTCACAGACACCATTTTATTAAAAGCTTGAAAACAAAAAGAAATACATATTGATTTTGGGCACATCAGAACACACAATTTCACCATGGAAACACAAGCAAGCATTCAAAATTAAATACAAGAGAATGACAATAATTACTACCATGTAACCACAATTTATTTTGTAGGATTCTTTGTTAATGAATAATTGATGTTATTACATGTAAATACATTTGTAACATGTATGTATTACGCACAGAATTAAACAGTTACTTTTAAAAACACACTACATTAAAAAAATGGAAAACAATTAATACAATATACACTATTTTGTTCTACAAACTAAATGATAGGGTTCATTGCATATTTGAAGAGACACAGAGCACTAATGTGTGCACACAAAATACTACAATGGTTAGTAACAATACAAGTGTGATTTCTACTTTTATGTAACCCACTTAATATTAAGTGTGATAACATTACTTTAACCTAACATGATATTAATAATAATAAAAAAACTATTTGTAAAAGGTGCGAGCTAATGTATTTGCTTTTTATAAGATTAAAATCATGCAGGTTGTGTAAATGTTTTCCAGTCCAGTACTCACTGTTTTCAATAGTAGGGTCGTAGGAATCTACAAATTGTCCTTCTACAAACTGTATCGTAAGGGAGGATTTTCCTGTTGTAAAATAAACCAAAATTATTATCAAAGCAATTTTTATTCACAGATAGGTAACTACAATACACATTACACCTGTAATAATAATATTGGGTGACATTGATTAGACAATGTTATTATTTTATTAAAATGAAACATTTTTACAAAAGGTAACAAAAATGTGCTAAGAAAGCTACTTACTGGTCAAGCCACATTTAAGTTGATTAACAGTACTAACTACAAACATAAGATGTAAATGTACAGACTTGTTTTTTTTTTTTTTAAATGGACCAATGAATTCATAAATGCAGATAACACAGAATGTGCAATCCTACTTCAATTTCTGTCCAAATCTGGGTTATAGTATCTCAGTCATCAATTCTCCATTTGTCTGTGTTCAACTACAATGGTAATTGATACAAAATGCAGCCATGTAAAATGCAACCTTGTATTAAATTTAAAATTTGAACAGGGTAATAATTATATTCCAGTTTTTAACCTAATAATTTTACCCTTATTTTTAAAGTATTGGTTCACCAAAAAAGTGAAAATTATGTTTTAAATTACTCACTCACATGTTGTTCCAAACCTGTCTTGGAACACAAATGAAGATATTTTAGGTGAAATCTGACAGCTTCCTCCTCCTCCACAAACAGTAAGGTTTGTTCAAAGACCAGAAAAACACCAGAAAATATCCTCAAAACAGACCATATGCCTTCAGTGGTTGGTTTAATTATAATATTATTAAGATTCGAGAATACTTTGTGCGCGAGTGCTGTGCAATGCCGTATACCCCCTGATTGCCTGTGTGCAACAGTTTGAAACAAAGCACAGGCGCATCTGGAATATACATCAGAGACACAAGCAAGTGCGACATGTAAACATGCTCCCTATTCTGACACTGTAGAGAGGAAACTGTTAAATTTCATGAACACACATAGCTTGATAATATTCTGATTAGGGTTGGGAATAGAAAATCGATTTCGATTCAGGAAAAAGAATTCAATTAAGAATCAAATACTTGTTATTAAACAAAAAAAATCAATTAGTCTTATTGATTCCTGTGTGCACATTTTCATTTGGAAATCTGGCAGAATGTTCCACACTGGCGAGGTACCAGACCTTGAACAATAATCTAAACATTAGTTTAAAAGATGCAGGAAGTGCTCAAATGACATGTGACTATATTTGGTAAAAATCAATGACAAAAAGCAATGATCCTCTGCATCATGTTTAATAATGTAGTCAAAGACACAATATTTAATTCCCTTCAATGTTCTAAACTATTTTTAAATTTAATTTTATAAAAAAAAATCATATAAAATATGTTAAACATGTAAAACAGAATACAGTGTGTAGGCATAATAGATCAGAAGTAAATTTCATTAGTTAATAAATGTTTAGGGCATGATCATTTTTTGCTACATTGAAATCAAAACTGACAATGGATAAGAATTGAAATCGAAAAGCAAAATCAGAATTGGAACCGATAAAATTCAAAATGATAGCCAATCATAATTCTGATTAAACCACTGATGGCATGTTTTAAGGATAAAAGACAGTTTTGGATGATTTGGCACCTTTTTGGACTTACAAGGAGTGCAGAACCTTGCTGTCTATGGAGGACGAGGATGCTCTAAAGCATCTTAATTTGTATTCTTAAATATATAACAGAGATGAGTTTTTTTTTATTAACTAATTCTAAATTTCTAAACTAAAAATATTTGTTTTTACAAGCATCAGATTAATGGTTATGAATTCTGTGAATATACAAAATAGTGGATAGGTAAAATACTGCTTAAAGTTATAAATTCTAAATATATATATGGAATTACTTTGCAAAAAAAGTTTGTCAACATGCAATCTTTTATGGCATCAGTCTGCAAACAATACCACAAAGCAAACTAATATATCAAACAATTAACAGCTGTGCAAGAACAATTTCTATACACAAATTTCAAAACTAACAAAAAGAAAAAAGTATTAGTCCAACCAAACTTAACTAGGCTAAAAAATTCATATACAGTTCTTAACAAATCTACATTTACAAAGTATTTTTCAACTTTTATATGACTTTAAAATTCTGACTTATGAAATATAGTAAATTTTAAGCCTTTCCGTAAAATTATCATGACACATGGCCACAAAATATTATGACTCGACAGGCAAATTACATAAAACTTGATGCATTCATTCATATTGTATTGTCTACCATATAAATTTCGTAAGTGCATGAACAACTTATAAAGTAAAAGTAAACATTAAAGTATATAATTTGGCAGAGAAACAAGGACCTGATTTTCAACTTCAAAGGACCTTTAAAAAGTTACAGTTATTAATGTTCAATTCAAGGTCAACTCATTTTGTATCTATCAGCGTAAATCTTAATTGAGCTCTACACTGTTTATCAGTTCACATGGTCACATTTTGCGTAGCGTTACCCTTGAAAATGACCGAGAATATTCGCTTTAAATCCCTTGACGGTCACGACTCAGCGCCACGGATATCGACACGTTAATGAAGCGTGGCGTCATTAAAGTGAGACAGAAAACGACAATAAGCTAATAATAAATAGCTGAAAAGAAAACGCATCGTGTTTCAGGTCAACTTTGAGAAATGCGAGTGTGTTGTTTGAATTGACCGATTGAGGATATTCGAGTGTTGACTGGCAAATGATGATCGCGTGTGGTCTGGCTGAAGAAGAAGCACGTTGCTAATTCCTGCCAGCACATGCGCTTCTCCATTATGTCGCCAAACGCTGGCGCGTTGTTAGAAGATTCTTTACAGGATCAAAACAAATACTTAACGTTAATTAAACTCAAAGTGGCTGGAGATCCGGTAGCAATTCAAATGAAGTTTTCTAAACAGCTGCAAAAACTCTACCAACTTAGCAACTTCTAAACATCAAATAGCTCTTCCTAATGCAAATATTTGGAACACTCACCAACTGAACGATACCCCAATACAGCAATCTTTCTGTACTTCGGTTGAGGCATTCTTTTAAAATAACCTTTGAACGTCGAAACCAAAACAACTGGAGGTTAAGAAAGAAATAGTTTATCAAACATTAGAGGTCTATCACGTGATAACAACAAACTTTTCCACGCCCTCCAGAAAGATCTTCATCGTTGATTTTGTCGCATAAAATGAACTTCGTTGCTTTACGCTGAGCAGTCAAAAAATGTTTTTTGTTGTGGTAAACCTTTAAGCACACGGTGACGTCTTAAAACTTCGACGAATGAACTAAAATGCTTATTCACCGCAGTTGTGTGCTCTTCTTCTTCTGGTTTGTATGAAAGTAGAAAAACCAACTGTAGTTGCATGTCCGCCCCCTAGTGGAATGGAGTTAAAAGGGTTAATTTATCATGTATGTTTCAAAGGTGCAGTAGGTGATAGTCTTCAGAAACAGTTTTGTTGTGCTGGTTGTAAGTCTCTTCACATTCCAATAGCAATGAATAAAGTAAATGATCTAATTGTATTTATATGTTTTTATATTCTGGGTAAGGCATAAAACAAAACAAAAATGTTCATCCAATTTAATATTGTCAGGCCAATAATACTCATAATTATGATAAGTAGCCCAAACTGTCTGTCAGTAAATGTAGATTTGAACAACTGCACACCCCTGTTCACAATGTGTATGTGCACCATGCATTCATGTACACACAAGACACTAAATCAAAAATGTTTAAAATCCTGAATCAATATTGGAATTACTTTTGCACACTGAAGGAAGGATGACACCATGGCTGAAGTATTTCTTTTAGACAGGTCATGTTCTGTTTTAAAACTATTTTAGTCACGCAAAGCTGATGAAGATTGGATTGTTTTACGAATGGATTATATGCACAGAAGTGTTGTTCAGCCACTGAAATCTCCTGGCAAAAGACTGATGTGACTATTTTTAGTTTCATAAGGAAACTTTTACAGCATCGATAATGCAGATATTTCTTTAATTTAACAACAACAACACACAAGTTAATAGCGCTATTTCTGTTCTATTCCTCGGTTGGGATTGTGTAGATTCATTTGAAGCTGCATTGAAACTGCAGTTTGAAACTGCAGGTCCACTGTATAGAGAAACATTCTTCATGTTTTTCTCAAATGCCTTTATTTATTTTCAACTGCAGAAGGAAAGAGGGAGTGAGTAAAATATCAGGAATTTTGTTTTTTAGTCAAGTTTGGAGAAGGATAAATAATACTTCATACTTCAGCCTCCACATCAAAATTCCTAAAAGCAAAGAACGTCAAGGTTTATCCAGGATTGGCCAGCCCAGTCTCCCAACATGAAAATTAATAAGCATATCTGGAGTATGATGGAGGAGGCATTGAAGTTGAATCCAAATAATCTTGATGAACTCTGAGTCCTGCAAGAACGCTTTCTAGATTACTTTATTAGTCCTCCAGACTCATGGCAGTCATACACAATTATTTTTTCACTGCTCCATGACTTTATATTCTATACTGTACATTATTTCTGTTAAGTGACAAGACCTTTGTCTAAGCAAAGTCAAACCTTACTGTCCTAATTGAAAAAATAAAAATCAAGGCATGATAATATTTTATTTTAGATAAATAAGCCACTTCTGATATTAAATTATCAACTAGAGCAGTGGTTCTCAAACGTTTTTCATCAAGTACCACCTCAGAAAACAATTGTCTCTCCAAGTACCACCAAAATGAGCAGTATTGAAATACAGTAGCGCAGTAGGCCCAGTAAAGCAGCAGTTAAAAAACATGGCAGATTACATCAGAAATATAGGCTATATGTCATATATGACATATTATATACATAATTTTTGATAAATTTTGAAATGTGTGTAGCATGTACATGACATATTTCATTCCTCCGTGTACCACTAGAAGGAAGCCTGCGTACCACTGATGGTACACATACCACAGTTTGAGAACCACTGCACAGTCTGCACTAGAGGTAAAGATATCATTTTTTGTCCTAAAACTTGTATAGGCAACAAGGCTTTTGTCAGGTAGTGTACATGGTTAAAATCAGATCAGATTTGCATTTATAAAATAATTTCTTTATGTTCCGGTTCAAACATTTGCTGCATCAACAGTGTTATTTTTCTCTTGCAGTTGTGTTTAAATTCATTAGATTTTTAATAATGATATTTCTGACTTTATCACAAGAAACCATTAAAACTGTTCCTCTGCGTGATTGGCTATTTACAACAATTGATTGATTTGAGCTGATATCATATTTTATTTATTTTTATTTAACTGCATCAGGAGTTTTTATTTCTGACTTGCATTTTTGTGTATAAATTCATAATATTTCTGATAATGATGTCTCAAAATTGTCAACATGAAGTGAATTGGTGACTCTTGCTTGAAACAACCAGCTCATGTGTTGTTATTGGGTGTTTACATGTTACTTAGAGCTGCTTAAGCTCCATGTTAATCACAAACTCTGGGTCAAAGCCCATGTTAAAAGAGAAGGTTTATATCATGTCTTGTAAAGCCACTTATCCTGATCTTAACCACTTTGCATTTGTTTGGTTTTGTCAACATCAAACTTACTTCACAAACCAGAGTTTATTCAACTCAATTTTGTGCAACAGGCCTCTTGCAGGGATAGTACCACTTTTGTGGTGTTAACAGCGCACTGGGCTGACAGACGTGCTATGTGAAACAATGCAAGGTTATAATGTTACAGCTAGATGCTTAGCAGATGACAGCAAATTGCATGCCTCATATTCACATGCTTTAGGCAGTAACATTCTAAGTTCTAAGTTCTTTTGACCACTTAATCAGTCCTTTAGACGGAGATTTATCTGTTGAAATTTGCCGTGTGCATGTGAATCATAATGTGATATGAGTAGGTATTAGGTTTGAAGAAAGCGTTTTTAGTATGAAACATTCTAAGTTCTATATAGAAGGTTTAAGATGAAGAAAATAGTAGAGTGAAAATTTTCATTTTGTAAACCTTCAACCCTGTTGCTATAAACATATACCATTTAATCATTTTTAACTTGTTAATAAAAGAAAGATTTTAAAAATGTTTTATGCATAATAATTTTTTATCGTTGTATTTTAAAATGTGTTGCCTGCTGTTTTTTATATATATATTCTTGCAGTAAAAACTGTTGTTTCAACAAGCAACTTTCTTTTAGTGTGGGTTGAGGTATTTGCACTGTGCCGATATCTTTCTTTTACGCAGCTTTGCATTAAAACTAATCATGATTAATTCCACAATGGTTTGAACAAGACATGCAGACCTCTCGTCAAACTATGATATTAATAAGACTAAAAGCTCTCCTGCATTACTCTGCATTCTGACAGGAAAGGTCTGCCTACAGTAACTGAGAGGTTTCAAATCTTGGCACTCAGCATGGGAAGATTCAATTAAGCCTTGCATTCCCCTAATGGCCTGCTCAGAACATAAAGTGAAATGTTCTTTCTCAGAAGAAAGGCTCTGTGCTTTCTTTTAGGCTATGTAAAATTCTTAATTGTTGACTGAATCGTATGGTTTAACCATTACTTTACCCATGAGAATTCCTCATTACTCTGTCTTCCCTCAATCAATGATGGTATATGTGACTGCGGTTGCAGAATGGCAGAATTCAAGGGATAATGCACCAATTACAAATATTACTTACAGTTCAGACACAGTTAAAGGTGAAACTAACACAATAACACTTGATTATAAACAAATACGTATAAAAACACAGATAGACACTGTTATGCTAAACCATGCATAATCTGATAGGAGTCAAATTTTAGAGGTCACTGCATGCTGATTTGACTATTTGACCCTCAACAGCCATATCACCCTGCAGCACAAGATTGGTTAATCACTGAAGCTAAGCAGGGCTGAGCCTGGTCGGTACCTATAAGGGAGACCACATGGGAAAACTAGGTTGCTGTTGGAAGGGGTGTTAGAGAGGCCAGCAGGGGGCGCTCAACCTGTACCTGTGGTCTGTGTGAGTCCTAATGCCCATGTAAAGTGAAGGGGACACTACACGGTCAGTGAGCGCTGTCTTTTGGATGACACAGTAAACCAAGGTCCTGACTCTCTGTGGTTAATAAAAATGGAATATTAAAAATCCCATGGCACTTTTTGTAAACCCTGGTGTCCTGGCCAAACTCCCTCAATCGTCCCCTTACACTCATGGCCTCCCAATCATCCCCATCTAATGAATTGGCTCTATCACTGTCTCTCCACTCCACCAATACCTGGTGTGTGGTGAACACACTGAAGCCGTTGTCTTGTGTCTGCCGTCGCATCATCCAAGTGGATGCTGCATACTGGTGGTGGTGTGAAGAGACTCCCCTCATGATCATGAAGCGCTTTGGGTGTATGGCCATACACGATAAATGCGCTATATAAATAAGCATTACATTAAAGTCTGTTTGGTTGGATTGCACACCTGCTGAAAGGAACGTTAACTTTTGAGGATTGGATTGCAGTGTACAGGGACCAATAAGAACACACTATAAAAAATGCTGGGTTCCACACATATGACTTGTGTTGGGACAACATTAAGGGGATTGCATTAATTTATTAGTTCTTACAAATTCAGGTGGATTGAACATAAATCAATTAGTGTACCCTCAAAACACAAAAATGATAGTTTAAGTAGTTTGAACAAACAGTCAATGTTATTTTTTGTGTGATTCTTGATAATGGGTATTATCTGACAGGGTGAAAATTAGGCACATTGTTAGCTTTATAAGTAGGTGTCACAATCACCAGGGATCTAATCTTTACAGATTACTTGCAAACACACAGATCACATAGGACTACAAATCTGCTGGCATATGGACTACAAGATCCAGTCATGCAACACACATACATACCTGTTCCATTAATTACACTTCCACAGCTGATGCTGCTCATCGACTGTCTGATAACACACACATATATACGGCTCACTTTGGCAGTCTCATTGCTGAGTCTTGTAAACTGTACTGTGAGCATTACGACACATTTTCCATGCCTTGCCTTCTGTGTTTGAACCTTGCTTTGTTTCGTTTGTTTATTCCTGTCTGCTGCTTGCCTTTTGACCATTTTCCTGTTTATCGACCACTACTCTGTATTGCCTTTATACATCTATTTGCACCTGTGTTGACTGTTGCTTGTCGGACCATTCCCTGCTAATAAAACCTGCTTTTGGATCCACACTCCCTGTTTTCAGAGTCCCTTCACATTACAGAAGGACCCAATGGGATATATTTTTTTTTAACTTCAACCTAGACTTTTGTAGCACAAGAAGTTTAATCTGAATCAGATTTGAATTTGGAAATACCAAATTTTGCTATGCAGAATCAGGTACTTTTGTGCCAGTTTTTCCAAAGTAAAATGGGATTGGATCACCCTGATTTAGTTACACACTTTTGTATATGGATTACTAAGGCTCTTAATGAGACCACATAAAACAATTTTGGCTGCTGTAAAAAACAAAGAAACACCATCTTGTGTGTGTGTGTGTGTGTGTGTGTGTGTGTGTGTATATATATATATATATATATATATATGCTAAAACAAATTAGAAAATGCATTTTAAATCATAAGGTGGCAACATGTCCAACACTTTACAAAATTAAAAATACAAATGTTAATGCTACATGATAGAAATTAATTTTGAAAAAAATATGTATGTAAAGATTACTTCAGATTATTATAAAATTATCAAAAAAGTTTTGTTTTTGATTCCCACTCTAGCTGGTATCAATAATTTATTTATTTAATCAAAAGAATGCCAATTTTTTTAACAGTCAGAGGTGATTGGTGTCAAGATTGGATTTTGTGATCTAATCCGAATTCAGTAAACTCTTATTTAACCCTCACAATAAAAGGAAATCCGAGCATGACTAAAATAAATTGCAATAGACTATTTGGCTTATTTAGAAATTTAACCCATGATCTTACATTGAGAACGTTGAAGAAAAATAATAATTTCTTAGACCATTTTCTTCGTCTTTTCATAACTGATAATATTCGCAGGGTTTGTAAATACGTTCATCCACGAGTTGACGTTCCAATGAGCTGCACCATTTGGCTGCTATGGGTGTGTACTTTCCACCCGTGACTGAATAAATGCGCATCATTTCACATCCAACCACTAGAAGCGGAGGGAAGTGTGCGTCGGTCGACTGATGTTGAGCAGTTTGTTGAGAAGCAAAAATATAAACTGGCATCGGAACAATTAATAAATCAGGTGGGATTGTTGGAAGAGTGGATAGGTGATGGCATCTCACACAAACGACGAGAACAAACGAAAAATCACTTGAGAATAAAATAAGTGGAGAACAAACGCTGACATCTGTGCGGTAAGTTTGCTTTTAATTACTTTAGCCTACTCTAAAATGATTTGACGAAATAAAAACATATTTTAGGTATTACACTGCAAGATTTAATCAAGTGTAAAGAAAAGTGCAACGGCTATAAGTAATGACACCGTACAGGTTTAGGCAATTAATAAACATTTTGTGCAACCATGCTGGCAGGATGGCGTGTGAATGTGTGTGTTCAAACTGCGACGTTTTGTTGGAACGATATTTATTTTGCACGATATAATTTTCATGATTTTGACCACTTAATCAGCCCTTTAGACGGAGATTTATCTGTTGAAATTTGCCGTGTGCATGTGAATCATGATGTGATTTGAGTAGGTATTAGGTTTGAAGAAAGCGTTTTTAGAAAATTCTCGCGGTTGTTCGCTCCCACAGTGAATGAAATATCACCCTAATGAAAAACAAAAATTAAAAACAGGCTGTAAAATAAATGATAATAAAATTGTGAAACTTTAACAGTATACACAACGATAGAGAGGTATCCGAAGATATCTATCTATCTATCTATCTATCTATCTATCTATCTATCTATCTATCTATCTATCTATCTATCTATCTATCTATCTATATTAAATAAATGTGAAAAAAACTTTTACATCTCAAGTTGCTTATGTAAAACTACCCCTTTAGAACAGGTAATCTTTTTCCCTTTTGCATTTTATACAATAATTTCCCACTCAAGTTTTCTTTACCTTAGTCCATGGTTTATCAGGGGCTGCCACAGCAGAATGAACCATTAATTATTTTGGTATACCGTATACGTTTTATAAGGCGAATGCCCTTCCGGCCCCAACCCTGCATTGAGTACATTAACTCATAAAACTCCAGTGCTGGGAAGCACCCATACACTTTCTCTTTTACACACAGATACACCACGTCCAATTTAGTTTATCCAATTCACCTATACTGCATGTCTTTGGACTGTGGGGAAAGCTGGAGCACCTGGAGGAGACCCACTCAAACACAGGGAGAACATGCAAACTCTACACAGAAATGCCTCCTGTCCAGGAACTAGTGGCCATATTGCTGAGAGGTGACAGTGCTAACCACTGAGCCACCGTGCCACCCCATAATGATGTCTTGGTGAAAAAAAAATGCTTATGGATTTATTGAGGTCATGTTTTGATCTATTATTGGTCTCAGTCTCACACAACCACGTGATGTGATTTTGCAGGTCTGAGTTCACCAAGCTTGAACATTGCTATGTAAAGACATGTGAAACTTGTTGCAAGAGCTTATGTTTCTGGTCTACTGCATTCGCATGCATTTGAATAGAAGTCGGGGGTGAAAAGTGCAATGTGACCACAGCTTAAGTGTGTTAAAGAAGGTTTTTAACTAAACTATGCAGGAACTGAATTTGAAACCCCTGCTCTATAATCAATTGGCCAGAAGTTTTTAAACAAAATGTACAATATACATAATGACTGTAATTCATCAGGAGTTCACTGAAGTACTAGCGAGCTCTCTTTTGCTCTCATCAAAGTAAAGCAGACCGTGATTACCTCTCATTTCTGTTTTTGTTCTTCATTCTTTGTCAAACTTATCCTCAGATCTATCTTATCTTCATAAAGTATTATGAATATCTGTTTAAAAATTATGCATTCTTTTGGCAGTTATGGCAATTTCCCTTCACAATGCCCCCTTTTAATATAAAAGTCATATTGAAAACATTTATGTGGTGAATTAATTTCTTCCTGATTATTTAAAATTGTCCTGTGCATTTTACTGTAACAATATATTGTTACAGCATCCTGATTTAATGCTATTTGTATACTAATATTTCAATTTAATAAATCACTGAAATGCGCAAACAATCTTCACAGGAATGCTTTAAAATGTAATGTCTAATTTTTCCATTTTTTAGTACTTCTATTAATTATTACTTTGCTGGGATATTTCCAGGTAAATACTGATTTTTGGAATTGACATAAAAAATATCATGCAGTGGTCTATTTGATTAAATATTCTATTTAGATTATAATTTTATTTAAACCAATATTACTGTCATCGATCTTAATACTTAAATTAAAACTGATTTTATTTATATTATTTATAAATGACTGTCATTACAGGCCACAAGAAGCATCTAGTTTTGTCATACATACGCATGCTAGACATGATTTAAAGTTGTAAAGAGTTTACAGCTGAGGGAAAAGTGCCTTTCCAAACAAATGCAATGGTATACTGGTGCATAATGCATCTTTGTGTTTAATGCTGCCATTTAAAATAATCTAACATACAAAGTTCATCATTTTAATTAATAATGACTGGTCAAAAATCTAGACGATGCAGTGGCACAGTAGGTAGTGCTGTCGCCTCACAGCAAGAAGGTCGCTGAGTCGCTGGTTGGAACCTCAGCTCAGTTGGCGTTTCTGTGTGGAGTTTGCATGTTCTCCCTGCATTCGCGTGAGTTTCCTCCAGGTGCTCTGTTTCCCCCACAGTCCAAAGACATGCGGCACAGGTGAATTGGGTAAGCTAAATTTTTCTTAGTGGATGAGTGTGTGTGTGGATGTGTGTGTGGATGTTTCCCAGAGATAGGTTGCAGCTGGAAGGGCATCCGTTGCGTAAAAACGTGCTGGATAAGTTGGCGGTTCATTCCGCTGTGGCGACCCCGGATTAATAAAGGGACTAAGCCGACAAGAAAATGAATGAATGAATGGTCAAAAATATCATTAAAAATGCATTGGCACTGTTATATCCGACTATTGCATATAGCCCATAAGCTCTTTCACATTTTTTTTTACATTATGGGAGTTAAATTTACAACCAGATGCATTTAGACCTGTTCAGGTTTGGAGGCCATTTACACCTGCCCATATCATGATTAGAAATTAGCTGCATCCGAGAGGCACACTATCCTGCAGAGTTTATTTACAATCCTGATAAAACACACCTGCCTTCTGATTTCCAGTGATCTTGAAGACATTGGCTGCATGTAAAATTGCCTACTACTCGAATAGGTATTACATTTGAATTTGAATTTACTACATGACCATTAGAAAAGTATAAAGTATGTTCTATGTAGTATGAATGTGAATAGTATGAATGGAACTCAAAAGTACTACAAATGATCTACCCATGTCAGTTGCGTCGATTGACTCCCATTTATGTATCTCTCATGTGCCATCATGGGATTATATAATGTCCATAAAACAGGACAAGAACATGCAGCCAATGAGAGAACTCATTAACCACATGTTCAGTACACAACAAAAGCACGTGAACACAATGTAAACACAGAGCCGTGTACTTTGACAACAGACGCAAGACACGAGCACACGATAGATAAACACCTTACCATGCGCTCACACATATGCAACGCGCATGTTTCATCTCAGCGTCAACCAAAACCAAAACCAACTAGACGAAGACGCTGAGAATGAAACAGCGCGATGCCGACAGAAAAAAACACAAACACGAGTACAAGAGCGCACGTGTCCGAGGCACGCAGAGCCCGCGCGGTCGCATCAAGCGGGAGCACGCACAGTTTGCGTACACCCACGACAGCGTGCACGCACACAGAGGCACACACAATGACAGAAACAGGACAAGACAGGGCTAGTGTCTGGACTCTGCCACCAAAACAAGAAATCACAAGACCACAGTGGCAGAACCCTGACAGATAATTATTGAATATTTTTCAACAATGCATTTAGGAATATTTGTATTGTCTATTTAACCACTTTGTTTTAATGTACCAACATTACTAAGGCAAATAGTTTTAATAGTCAAAACCAAAAATATTGAAACAAAATATCTGGGGTCCATTCTTCATATGTGGATTACTCAATTAGCTGGATTTGGTTATTGATGATTTGAGATAATCCAGGATCATTTGGTTCTTCAAAACTCATCTGACAGTTGTTGTCATAGCAACAGGTCAGGTAGCTTAAACCTGCTTGGGAGCAGGCTTATTTCAAATAAACCGAATTAGATCGGGTCTTTTCAAGCAAAGGTGATTCTGAAAGTATGTACCGAATGCTGATATTTTCTTCAGTAGTAGTTGTATATACATACAGTTAAAGTTAGAATTATTAGCCACCCTGTTTATTTTTGTCCTCAATTTATTTTTAACGGAGAGATTTGTTCAACACATTTCTAAGCATAATAGTTTTAATAACTCATTTATAATAACTGATTTATTTGATCTTTGTTATGATGATAGTTAATAATATTTTACTTGATATTTTATCAAGACACTTCTACACAGCTTAAATAGACATTTAAAGGCTTAACTAGGTTAATTAGGTTAACTAGGCAGGTTAGGGCAATTAGGCAAGGTATTGTATAACAATGGTTTGTTCTGACTATCGAGAAAATATACAGCTTAAAGGGGCTAATAATTTTGTCCTTAAAATGGTGTTTGAAAATTAAGAACTGCTTTTATTCTAGCCAAAATTAAACAAATAAGACTTTCTCCAGAGGAAAAAAAAAATTATCAGACATACTGTGAAAATGTTCTTGCTGTGTTAAACATCATTTGGGAAAAAAAAAAATAAAAAATTCAAAGAATGGCTAATAATCTGATTTCAACTGTATATGACTTCCCCTGGTCCCAGCAGCTCTGGAAGAAATCTGTAGAGCTCGCATTTTCAGTAAATTGGATCTGAGGATTGTTTATAACTTGGTCCGTATCCGGGCAGGGGACGATTGGAAGAGGGCTTTCATCACTCCGGCCAGCCACTATGAACACCAGGTGATGCCCTATGGTCATTCCATATCCTTCAAACTTTTATGTATGAGGTACTCAAAAAGTTTCTTCACCACTTTGTGATTGTTTACATGGGTGATATTCTCATATACTCCAAGAATCTAACTGAACATTGCCAACACATCACCCAAGTTCCTCAGAGTCTCAGACAGCACCTACTGGTCCTGAAGATAGAAAAATATGAGTTATCACTGACCATAAGAACTTGCAGTACCTCCGAGAAGCCAAGAGGCTATATTCTCGTCAGCCCAGATGGCCCCTGTTC